TACATATAAACTATAAACAGCGACGATATCAAAGATGATCGAATCCAAATCCCCTTGTGATAAAATTGATGCATATAGGGTAGAGAGACTTTCCTGAAGTTGTTCTACTAGTTTTTAGTGACAAATACCCAGGAAAGCCACTACCTGCCTTTTCTATTATATTTTGATATAGTATACATTATTTAGACAGGCTTCTCGCTACCTAACTCAGGCTGGCCTAGAGCTAACAATCCTCCTTCTTCAGCCTCCCAAATGCTGGAATTACTTGTGTAATCATTCCTGGATGATGCTATGGGGTTTTAAAAGCCATATTTATTGTCAACATTTAAACTATTCTGCATATCTAGGCAAGTAATAATGCCACCAAGCATTCTTTCCAGCAGCTTCCTACTCCTTAATCAGGATATGATATTCAGTTGTTAATATCTAAAGTGCTGGAAAGAGGCTGCTATATCTGCTTTCCTCCTTTTCTGTTTCTGAGGCAGGATCTCACTATGCAACCCAGGCTGGCTTTGAACTCTTGATTCTTCTCCTACAGTCTCCTGAGTGCTGGGACTACAAGCTTGTGTCACTGTATCCAACTGCCTTATCAGTTTTTAAAAATATGTGTCGCCTACTTCTGCAGCTGTGCCCAAAGTTAATCATTCATAAATAATGATGCATTCAACATTTGGTCTGTGATTCTCCTCAGATAATGAGAAGATTGTGACTATTCGTTACGGTAAATACAACATAAAAGAAAATAAATAGTAAAGAACCTTAAGCAATGCTAAATGTTCCTTCATTCTGAATCATTTTATATACCTTTTCACTTCTTTCCCAAGAACCAGAGTTAAAAGAGATTCCAATACAAACAAAAACTATAAGGTTAGGATTTAGGAAACAGCATGTACATGATTCTGACTCATTGTCAGACTTTGGGCACTTCTAAGCCTCTTTTCTTCTATATTAATTCTGCGTTGCTTAGGGTTTATTATACAGATAAGCTGAAATAAAACCTTAAGCTCTCTGCAAATGTTTAACACAGACACATTGTATTTTGCTTCAGCTTGTGTTGTATAGGAATGGTTCCTTTTTGATAAGTAAAACCTAGTATCTCATTGTAAACCTGATAGCTTAAGTCAACATTTTTGGGTGATTAACAGATTGGCCATTTAGATCACCAATGTTCTAATTTTGAAATGACTCAATGAAAGACTAAGTGTTTATTCTGTTCATTTCATAAGTCTTTATGGATCATTTACTATGTGCTAGGTGATAATGCATTGTTTATTTCACATGAGGCTATACTTTGTTCTAAATTAAGGACAATTTACTTTCCCACTTCTGAATTCAGTTGCTCTCTCCTTTAAAAAATTTACCTAGTTTATACTCACTAACCAACTTAGACAATGTTACTCAGTTCAATCCTGACCAAAACAGAGGAGAAGAGCCAGGTGCTCTTAAACTTCTCAAATTTGGTAGAAGAGTTATGACTATGCTTTATAAAATTGAAAGAGAAGATACTTGCAGGATGAATTTTTTGATCATGTGCTTACCTTTTGGGTTTTTAGAAAGCATAAGACATTGCTGTTCTGTTTTATTCAGAGAAAGATGATATGAAATCAAGTTGACTGGACAGCCTTGAATCTGGCCTTTGGTAATGTTGTTAGAAATGGAACCCTAATCGTTCAAGCAATTAGAATTAGTCATCAAAAGCATATCCATACTAGAGAAGCATAATTGTGGTAGGCCATCTGGTCTGATTTTAGCTTCTCAGCATTTCATAAAGTTCTGTGAGAGCCAGAACGGGGGTAAGAAAACAAAATCCAGAAATTCCATGTAGTATACTTGTCAAGAAATGCATTTTATAAATCACTGTTGATACTTTGATTCACAAGACACAAAGGACTTGTATCATATAACATATTTTTTCCAGTAGCCATTAGTAATTTGGCTGAAATGCCTCCTGATGGCAGATTGGAGCCCCTGAGAACAACTTTTATTTTAAAAAAAGAAACAAGCTAAATGACTGCAAGGATTTCACTGCCTTGTAAGTAATAAGAAGTTAGGCTGACTATACAAATTAATTTCTCCTTTTATACTTCTTAAAGTGTAGACCCCTGCTGACTTCATAAGCATATAATTTCTGACCTCTCCCTTACCTAGAAGGGCAAAGATTTGGCTTTATGCCTTGCTAACTTTTAAGTGAGGGTTCCACATTTTCAGTTTGCACTGAGCCCTGGCCCCCATTTCCCCAAATCCTGGCTAATTGTAGAACGTGTAGTAAGTAGAACTGGGTAACACGTACTTGTCTGGGTAAAAAAAATATAAAAATACAACTATTTCTTAGAGGGTGCTCAAGAAATGTTTTTAGCATTAGTAAATGAGTAACTTTTTACAGTTTAATCTGTTTAATTTTGATAGGATGAGGAGTAAGGGAGGCATACTAAATGTTTGAGAAAAACAATATTAAATATAACACTCTTACAAATATTCTGAGGGGAAAATAGTCACGATATATTATTCATCTGTAAGGACATGACCTAAATCTTATGTTTCAACCTCATATACCGTGTAACTAGAAAATGTTGTTACAGAAAAGTCAAATCTAATGACCAAGATTCTTGTTCCTCAGAACACTGTTTACATCAATGCCAACAATACAGAAATAGTTAACTAAGCTTCAGAACATCATTATTAGAAACATGATGCAGTCATTACACATTCTATATCTAGAGAATTTTAGCCATTTATTTGTTCAGTAAGCTCATGTAAACCAATTATGCATTTTGTCTCAGAATTTATTCTAGATGTTGGGGTTATAATAATCAACAATGACAAAAAATAATCTAAAGTAGTATACTGAATGCAGGTTGCCCACATCATCATCCATGAAACTATTGTTTCACTCAGTTTATGTAAAATCTTTGTTTAAAAATGAAAAACAGATAAAGTTCAATGATAGGTTGACACTATTTTCTTTTTTATTGTTACTGTGTACTTGATAACCAGAGAGGTTACAGCTATTTGGATCATGTAATGAATAATGAGTCGAATTCTTTTAGAATGTCTCCCTTCTGTCCCACTCTCCCAGTTTTTCCCTCCCGTCCCCACCCACCAGATATCCACTTCATTTTCTACATAGTGTCTAGTATCACTGTCGTTTTTATTCACCCTTGTTCCACCTTTCGGGTGCCCGCTCTTACCTTCCCAAATACAAACAAACTAACAAACAAAAGGAAAAGAAAACAAAAACAGCAACAATGGCAACTAACGATGTCTCTAGTTTCCTTTTCTTGGAGCTCATTTCATAGAATATTATTTTATATCATCATCTCTACATAGAAATTGAGCCTTTGTCCACACTCCTATGTACAGTCTTCTCTGGCCTCAGTATCTGAATGTCTAGAGTCCTATATAATTTATCATGTGTGTGTATACACACATATATGTATGTATGTATTAGGTATGCATATATATTAATTATTCTGGATGTTTACTTGTGGAGTTACAGGCACATTCTAGTTACCACAACTGAGGGAAACTATGCAGCCTATGTTTGGCTCTCACTTAATATAATTGTTGACACCATTTTAATATCGTTTGTCTTTCTACCTGCTGGTTGGCAGCCAAAACACTATCTTTAAATATTGTATTCTCCCACAATTTATTATCTTTTTATAGTGCTATATATAATGATATGGTAACATTTTGTGTGAATATTTTCTTATTACTATAATGGTGTGAAGTTATAGACTTTATTCTGCAACTTGCTATTTTTATTCAATATGTTGTCTGTAAACTCTGTGTATCCTGACACATGCTGCATTGGGTAATTCAGTCTCATGACTGTGCAGAGTAGTAATAGAATTTCCTTTCCTGATCACAGGAGCCTTTTTCTCCCCTCTGGTTCTGCCACAATCAGTGATAGAAGTCACTAGTTGGGTATTGCTAGGCAATTAAGTGATTGTTCTGAAGTTCAGTTTTTACATTTATAGGACTAAAAGTGATTACCACTCAGATTTTTGACAGTTAGATGAGATAATATAGGTAAACCTAGCACAGGGAAAGGTGCAAAATAATAGTGGTGGAGATGATCTTACCTTGACGCTAATATCTGAATATTATGAAGCCCTAAGGAAATATATGTGATCTTGAATTTGTATTATACTTACATATTGTTTATTATACTGCTTATTGTTATATATTATTATATTTGTATTATCTTTTCTTATTGTACCCTTAGCTTGACTATTGATATTGATTTTTGTAATAATAAATATATTTTACCTTTAAAAAAAAATCCTTAGCTGGGCACTAGGGGCTCATGCCTGTAATCCTAGCTACTCAGGAGGCTGAGATCTGCAGATTGCAGTTCAAGGCTAGCCAGAGCAGGAAAGTCCAAGAGATTCTGATCTCCAATTAAAAAAAAAAAAAGCGCTGGGAAGTAGAGCCATGGCTCAAGTGGTAGAGCACTAGCCTTGAGCACCAAAGCTCAGGAATATCACTCAGGCTCTGAGTTCAAGCCTAGGACCAACATAAAAAAAAAAGGAAAAAAAGGGGGAAGGGAAGCAATCCTTGATATATTATAAATTTTAGGTTCAACTTTTAGAAAATTGAAAAATACTACTTTCTATGAACTGTCCACGGGATGAAGGGGCCTAAATTCATGAAATTATCAAAGTATGATAGTATGTATTTATAAAATGACATCTATGTTCTTATCTATATGTAAACATTTGGAAAAGTATCTAGCATATTCCAACTTTCATTTTCAAAGTAACAAGTAATAAAACTGTGGATGTGGAAATCCTGCCAATTACAGTTTTTTTCTAGAAGGACCTTTAACTTGCAATGAAAACCATTACTACACATTGAGTCATCTTTTCAAGTTCCCTGCAAATGTTTTGAAAAATCTGAAGAGTCAAGTATCAAATATAGTCTTCTGTGATGAATTTAAGAAACTTGAAATTATATTCTGATTCTCTCTGTGTTTTAATGCATTGGTTTTTGAACAGATTGTATACAATTCGCTATAGAGAAAAGGATAAAGAAAAGAAGTGGGTTTTTCAACTCTGTCCAGCCACTGAGACAATTGTGGAAAATCTAAAGCCCAATACAGTTTATGAATTTGGAGTCAAAGACAACATGGAAGGTGGGATTTGGAGTAAGATTTTCAATCACAAGACTGTTGTTGGAAGTAAGTATGAGGAACTCTACATTTAGTAAGCTTTTTGTGATTGTTTTCTTTTTCCTTAATTATCAAAATTTTAATTATTTTGTTAATTGTATAATATGCAATGCATTAATTTACATGTTCTAGAATTTGATGTGAAATAGCACATCAAAAGGATGTGTAAATAGAAAAATCCAAAGTATTTGATGTGAAAAATCCAAATGTGAAAGCGATTAACATTTAACTCAATCTCTAAGAAAAGGTGGTTTAAATATAGGTGACAGGCCATATTGGATATCTTTACTAATTTTCACGAATGTCACTGGCCACTGTAGTATTTTAAAAATAAACCCATGATATATGAGCAAACAAAAAATGCTCAATAATAATGCTTTAAATATTTAGAATAGGTCCACCTGTATCCCTATTCAAACAATTTGTTTTTTTTTTTTTTCATTCCAACAATGAGATGTACAAAATGCTATGTTGAAAAATGAACTTTACAACCTTGGCAGGGCGGGGGTGGGGGAAGTTAGGGAGTGTAGTCATGGAGATGGGAGGGGAGGGATGGTAGGGGAAAAACAAAGGAGGAGGCAACAATGCTTGATAAGAAATATAGTTATTACCTTGCTCATGTAATTGTAACCCCTCTGTATGGTATTTTCACAATAAAAATCTTATTAAAAATATTTAGAATAAAATTGTAGGCCAGTTAAGATATAAATAAATACCTGAGAGGACCTTGAACTTTGGAATTGATATTTGAAAGGACAGCAATTAAAACAATGTGCTGAAGTTAGAAAGCATGAGTTGTAATTGTGTTTGTGGTAATTAACTACAGTTGATTTGGAAGCAAGAAGAGTGAAAATGTTGTAATTTCCCTTGTTTTTATCAGGTAAAAACAAAGTAAATGGAAAAATCCAAAGCACCTATGACCAGGTCCACACAGTGGTATGTAATGCTTTTTTTCAAGATTTTAAAAGATTGCATCTGAATGTTATTGTTATTAAAGTAGAGGAACAGTTTTATTTTGAGGTCCTGAAACTGAAGTAATTAGTGCTAATAGGCTTTGGGTAGAGTACATAAGAGCTTAGAACCAGTTTGCTTTTCTGGAAATTTAGATGGAACTATGATTGATTCCAACACATCTCTAACGTATTTGAAGCTTTGAGATTTTGAGGTTCAGTATAGTTATTCTAATATTTGAGTAGTCTGGTGATTTTGAGGCTGTACTTACTTCTGTCCTGTGGATTGCTTCTGAATAGAACTGAACTGATTGGTATATGCCCTCAGTGTGCTGCTGAAGCTCAAATCTTTGTTTTATCTATCAGTTTGTATTGGAGAGCACCAACCTTTTCAGAAATGATGAAGCAGCCATTGATTTTGTAACATGCTCAACCTCTGTTCATGGTTGTGTAACATGCCCAGCATCTATAGACTGGGGATCACATCAGGGAATAACTTCCAAAAGAATCTGTTCTCAGACAGCATTGTGTCACCATACTTTACCTTCTACTGTAAGGTTAGCCATTATTATAGCCATCAACGAGTGTGTGTGCTTCACATCACATCCTGAGTTATGAAGTAGAGGACATTCTGTTACTGAGAAGGCAGGGAAGGGATTTTGAAGTGGGGATGGGGGTAAAGCGGTTATTTGGTTCCCAAACATGGGAGGTACCCAGTTTGGGAAATATTCTACAGTGAAATAAATACACAGAGCTTCTTTTCACGGGTAGAAATTTTCTCTCTTCAGGGATTGTGCATGATGTGTTTGGATGGTTATCATTTCCAGGCTAATATATAATTCAAAGAATATGTCAGCCAGGATGAAGGAAGAAAGCAGTTCATACATTATTTGTTTCCAAAGAAAGAGGATTTGTATTTCACTCCCAGGGGTGCTGAGTATCCAAAGTTACAGGATTTGATGTGATATTTCCATACAAGTACACACTATGTACTAACTAAATCAGGCCAATTAACATTTCTACTTCCTTATCATTATTTTGTGCTTGGGGCTTTTGGACTCATTATTTTCATCTAAATGTGTTTTATCTAGCCCTTTTTATCACCTTCTCTGCTTCCCAAACTCTAATAATTATATTAAGTATTAACATCTACTTTATTTTTAAACATCTATTATGTGAGAAAGCATGTAGTATTTATCTTTCTTCATCTACTATTTTACCCAATATGATGCCTTCTGGATCCACACATTTGACTACAAACAATGGATGTCATTCTTTGAGTGGCTAATTGATGCTACACTGTGTACATAGATTCCATTTTCCTCTGCTGATGGATAATTAGGTTGATCTTATATGTGAAATATGTGAATAGCGCAGCAATAAATATGGGAATGTAGATGTCTTCTTGATGTGCTAATACCATGTGCAATGGGTATGCATCCAGATGCGGGCTATCTGGTTCTTATGATAGTTCTAGTTTTAGTGTTCTGAGGAACCTGCATTTTCAATATTGGCTGTGCTAATTTACATTCTTACCATTTATGCATAATTGTTTCCTTCTTATCTTTGGTCATTTAAAAGAATAGCCATCCTAAATAAAGTGCGATGATTTCCTCAATGTGGTTTGACATACATTTTCCCAATAGCTAATGAAATTTAGCCTTTATGAAATTGTTGACCCTTTAATTTTCTTCTTTTGAAAAGTACCTCATATCCTATGCTCATGTTTTGCTTTCTAAATTGAATTTTTAAAGTTTCTTATATATTCTAGATATTAATTCTTTGTCAGATGAAGAATTTGCAAATTCGTTCTGTAGGTTGCTGCTTGATTCTGTCGACTATTTCCTTGCACAGAAGCTTTTTAGTTTTATATAATTCTACTTTTCTATTTTTTCTTTTTACTGGTGCTTTTGGAAGTCTTGCCTAGAAAATTGTACTGAAGTCTTGGAGTGTTATTCCTATATATTTTTCTAATATTACCACACTTTCAGGTCTTATATTTAGATTTCTGATCCATTTCAAGTTGATTATCTTGTGTTTCTAATGTGGTTTTGGAAGAACCTGTCTTTTCTTCAATGCATATTTTTAGTACCTTTGCCAAGAATAAGATGGCTTTAAGTATACTGGGTTATTTCTGGACACTATTTTGTTTCAGTGATTAAAAAAACCATGAGAACATTTAATTTTTCATTATAAAGTTAAAATCATACTATATGTGCAATTTTGTACCTTGCTGTTTTTACCTTAGTCAAAATATAGCATAAGCATATTTCATGTCATTGAATGCTCTTCATAAATATAATTTAACTGCCGCATATTACATACTCTAAATATATTATCTACTTAATCAGTTTCTAAGTTGTAGACATTTATTTTAATTGTTTTAATTTGTGCTGTTACAGAAGACACATACAAAAAAATCTTCACATTTCTAGTTGTTTCCTCAAAATAGAAATATCTACTATCAGTTTAGACTTTTAGCATTTTTAAGATTCCTAATATGTATGGTCAAACTTCTTCCCAGAAAGGTGTTTAACTTTTGCCAAAAATTTGTGTCTGAGTTTATCCTGTTATAATGCCCTTACTGAAATCATTATGTATTTCTTTCAGTAAGCTTTTGGCTAACATAACAGCTGAAATAGTCACTTCATTTCCATTTCTCTGACTGCAGATAAAGTAATACTTTCTCACTTGTATTTTCCACTTACTGACCTTTAGTTGCAGTTCTTTGTTTATTGAGCATTGAAAATTTTAATTGAATAGTTTAAAGACTTTATAGGTTAAAGGACAGTGATACTATATGATATCTAGAAATATTTTTCACATTTTACAAGTTAATTTTGTTTATGAGAACATTTTAAATAGGCAAGTGTTGAAATTTGCTTTCAGTTATATTTTAGAAAACCTTTCCATCTCCAGAAAATAGATGAACATATCCTATTTCCTCTTCTTTGGTTTTAATTTTTGTAATAAATAAGCTTTATATTTTTCTAAACAACCAGTTGGTCTAGTACCATATGTGTCAATGCCTAACGCTTTTTGGCTTTTTTTTTTTTTTTTTCTATTCCTGGAGTTTGAACTCAGGATATGGGCACTGTCTCTAAGCTTTTGTGTTCAAGTCTAGCACTCTACCACTTGAGCTATGACTTCACTTCTAGCTTTTATGATAGTTAATTGGAGATCAGAATCTTACAGACTCTCCTTTCCAGGCTTACTTTGAACTGTGACTCTCAGATCTCAGCCTCCTGAGTAGCTAGGATTGCAAACACAGGCCACCAGTGCCAGGTTGTTTTTTGTTTCTTGGATCTAATTAATATCATGGAAGTGGAATAGTGGAATACCTTTTAATCCTTTTCCAGAACAATCTCACTCATGGGTATGCTTTCCTAGGACACATATCTCCTACCTCTTGACTGTCACGTTCTATCTTTATTTTCATTTTATCTTGAATTAATGTTATTGTTATCTCCTTTGTGGTACAAAGAAGTTACCATGTTCGATCTTCCGTGTGACTTCATGATGTCATTTTTTCCCTTCTTCTCAGCTGTTACATCCCAATAATTTTATTTATTTGGGCAGAACATTTCCTTTAGGGTGATTTACTCAGTAGGATTGGGAAAGATGACTGACATTTTACTACAAGGGAATTTAATGTTCTTTCTCACATCATAATCAGTCATGAAGGGCTAGGGAGAATGTTCCTGTCTCTGTGACACTAGGCCAGATGCTTTATCACTTCAAGCTGTGAGGCAGGACATTCCAACTTCAGCCAGTTCTGGTGAACTGCTCTTTAAAACTCTTGGTTATTTTCAGAGGAATACCCAATTCATTGAAAAGCTATTTTCAAGGAAAATACCTTCTGGAAAGCAGAAAAAATGTTTTATGAATTGTCAGCTATGCTCTTGGGCATCTCTGAGAAGTAGGAAAGTAGTACAGGAGATATCTGGACAGACTTGACTGTCTTAGCTGACGATACAGAATTGATTCTGAAAGTTCAGTTGATACTTCAGTGTGATATGTCAGCCCTCATAAAGACTAGATCCAAACATTCACCTCCATATTCTCTGAGACGGGTCTTGGAAAGCAGTATTTCAAATGATATAAAATTAATTCCAGATGTTTTGTTTTTAAGATTTTAAGTAAGAGATAGATTGAAATATGTTTTCATTAATCTAACTAGCCTTACTTCTAAATATACTAAACAGCAAAACAGGGAATAGGAAAAATAATCTTAGGTGAAAAGTGAGTACTAGTTGGGTGGCAGTGGCTGGTGACTATGATCTGTAATAGGCATTATATAGCTATTCAGGAAGTGAGATCTGAGGATCACCATTGGACACCATCCTGAGCAGACAGATCTTCAGACTTCTATCTCCAATTAACTAACAGAGAGCCAGAACTGGAGATGTGACTCAAGTGATAGAGCTTGATCTGAATTAGAGCATAATACTCTAAGTTCAAGCTTCTGCACCTGCATCAAAGAAAAAAGAAAAAAAACTCTTTGAGTACTAAGTATATTCATCTTACTTGTTTTGCTGATTTGTATGTTATAATTCTTGTATGCAGGTATGTAATGTGTTCTGCTGGCAAGCCCCACTACAGCTGTACCAGGGTCTTTTTTGATTGGTTAGTACCTTTTCTTTTTTGCCAGTGCTGGGGCTTGAACTCAGGGCCTGGGCACTGTCCCTAAGCATCTTTTGCTCAAGGTTAGCACTCTACCACTTGAGCCACAACTCCACTTCTGGATTTTTCTGTTTATGTGGTACTGAGACATTGAACCCAGGGCTTCATGTATGCTAGGCAAGCATTTATTGCTAAGCCACATTCCCAGCCCTTGGTTAGTACCTTTGATCTACTAATTGCTAAGTACTTTAAATATCACTTTCTTTTCTTTTTCACTTCCTTCCATCATTCCTTTGTCTTCTCTTTCTTTCTTTTTCTTCTTTCATTCATTTTTGTCTTCCTTTCTTCCTTCTTATTTTCTCTCCTCTTTGTTTTCTCCTTTCTTTATTGTACTAGATATTAATTCTAAGCCATTGTTTCTGAAATAGTCTCACATAGGCTAGCCTCAAACTTTAGATCCTTTGTACTCTTCCTTCTGAGTAGCTGGGACTACAGGCAGGAACCACCATGCCTTAATATTAACTTGTTATATAATTAATAAAATAATAAATTAATAGTAAATTATTATTCATTTATACATTTATTATATAAAGTCCAAGTTCCAGAGGCTAGCATTTGGTAGGGGCTTTTATGCAGGTCATCCATGGCGAGTGGTAAAAGTAGTAGTGAAAGGGTGGAGAGGGCCATATGTGGCCTTTGACCAAGACCCACTCCCATATTGACTAACCTAATGGGTTGATCACCTCTTAAGGATCTCACTTGTCAACACTTCCACATGGAGGATTAAGTTTCTGATTCTTGAGCTGTGAACTTTTGAGGGACATTCAAATCATACACCATACCAGCCCAGACTGTACATAAGCCTGCGAGACTTTGACTGCTTCACTCCCTACCAGGTCCCATGCCATCTCCACCAGGGACTCCAGGACAAGGCCAAAGACGTCCATAATAACAAGCCCATAGCAGCAAGGAAAGATCATGGGTATCTTTTAAAATTCACATACACACACAAATTTGGGGGCTCAGCATGTGGCTCAAGTGGTAGAGCACTCTCCTAGCAAATTCAAGTCCCTGGATTCATTCCCCAGTATTAAAAAATAAGATAAAAGTGGGTTGTAAATAGTTTTATGCTATGATCTTAATAATGATCATGGTATTTCACTTCTGGTGGACGGGGGATAGCGGTTTTCCCTACTTTTTTTTTTTTATAAGAAGACACAGTTTGGATTCCTGAGTGGGGATTTTAAAGTCTTTGGCAGAGATACATAAGGTAGAAAATATTTTCTGATGCCCTCAAAAAAAACTTACCTATTTTTTCATTGGTCTAGTCCAGGCAGATCTTTGGATTCAGACAAAGCAGGAAATATGAAATCATAAGTTTAGGAAGAATTGCCTTATGTAGTCAGTGCTTTCCTTACTTTTGGAAGCACACATTGTGCCTATAGTCTTGTCAACTTAATAGAACATTTGTCTGTATTCAAATAATAGCTCAGCACAGAAATTTTGTGGAATATTCTCCACTTGTTTCTGCCAAAAAATAATCTGAAATAAATCATTACAATAAAGAAATGAAAAATGGCATCATGCCGTTTAAAGGCAATCAACACAGTAACATGTCGCCCTTTTCACTATCATGTGTGAAACGTCTCTAAAAACTTCACATTCTGTAAAACATGTACTAAGTGATAGGACTCTGAGCCGTTAGAAGATGGGTCACTTATTAGCTTTTGTTACTGTAGCCTCAAACTTAACAAAAATGGTATTGGTGCCTAGAAAGATGATGTGGCTTCTCCACAAGGAGGTTCCCTGATGATTGGAGTTTGCCATACTGACCATTGAAAGTTCTCTCACGTGTTGACCTTACAAAAGTAAAGAACAGAATGTTGGTTACTGGGGCAGAGAGGAATGGTAAGATGCTGCTCAAAGTTTTAAACAGGTGAACAACTTCTTGAGAACTATTATAAGGCAGCATGACCATGAATACTAATCATGTAGAGTTCAATTCTCAATGTCTTACCACAAATGAAGGATGGACAAGTGAGGCTATGGGTATATATTAGCTATATATTATATTAGTGATTCACTCACTCCATTTTTTTTGTTGGTTGTGGGGCTTTAACTCAGGGCCTGGATGCTGTCCCTGAGTTCTTTTGCTCAAGAGCAGTGTTCTATCACTTTGATCCACAACACCACTTCTGGCTTTCTGGTGATTAATTGGAGATAAGAGTCACATGGACTTTTTTGCCCAGGCTGGCTTTGAACTATGATCCTCAGCTCTCAGCCTCCTAAGTGGCTAGGTTACAGGTGTGAGCCACTAGCTCCCGGCTCAACTCCCCTTTTTATGCTTATATCAAAACATCATATTGCACCTCAGAAATGTATATAATTGTGAAAAACTTGAAAAATTTAATGTCAAAATAAATGTAAATTTGTTAAGATAAAAGGGAGATAAAATGCAATACAGTTCTGAGAAGTTATAGAGACTAGGTGCTGGCAGCACTTTGGCTGAAACAGGACAGGTAAGGGGTAGCTAGAGCCGGTGAGGGGGACCAGGTCGTCTGAATGTGCTGACGTGAAGATTCCTAGGATGAAGCTGAAAGTGAGCTTCCTTTCACTGTAATTTTATAGCTGAGAATATTTTTCTTTCATGCCAAAATATATGCTTTAACTTTGACCATGTTCTTATCTTTCCCTTGTTCAAAAATGTCTAAAATTAAATTAAAATCATCCCCTCTTCACTAATACTGGTTGTTGCAGGACAGAAATGGATGTGACAATTGAACAGGCTATAGATGAAAGTAGCTTTGCTTGATTAGAGATGGAATTCATTACTCAGGGAACTTGGCAAATACAGAAAGGTACATAAAATGAATATAAGCTTATTAAAAAACTACTGTTAAAAACTTAAATGTATATTCTTCTAGGTTTTTATGTCCATACAAATTTATAAAATCAAGATATACAGGGGCTGGGAAGGTGGCTCAGTAGTAGAGCATTTGCCTTGCATGCATGAGGCCCTGGGTTCAATTCCTCAGCACCACATAAGCAAAAAGAAAAAAGCCGGAAGTGGTGCTGTGGCTCAAGTGGTAGAGCACTAGCCTTGAGCTGAAGAGCTGAGGGACAGCACCCAGGCCCAGAGTTCAGGCCCCATGACCGGACCCCCCCCCCCAAAAAAAAAAAATCAAGTTATACAGTGAGTGAAACTTGTGCCCATTGTATTTATTTATATTCTGAATGTTTCCATTTTAATTAATTTTGAACTATAACAAATTAAAATATGTGAACTATTACTTTTCAAATAAAACCTGAATATAAAGTACTTTGGATTAAATAAAGCCTGTACTTTATAGATAGAGAAGTTATTTTAAATTGTGGCAATAACCACTCTTGTCCAAAAACAATTATATATATATATATATATCTTTAGTTAATTCCTTAAAGTGAATGATAAGAAAGAAATTACTATGCCATAAGTACAGATATAACTCTTGAAAACTTACTCAGTAATAGTAAAGTTACTTTCTGTGTGTTTTTCAAACATAAACATAAAACTTATTTTCTGAGTATTTTTTGTGTGTCCTTAATGCAAGAGTAAAAATAGCCAGCAGTAGGGTTGGTATTGTGATACTTCTTAACTGAGGACACAAGTGTCTACATTCAGCTCATCCTAGAAAATCAACAGACTGGCACATGGTATGTCTGTATAGATCATGTGATTAAGTTATACCAAGTGCTCAACACACTTCATGCACACTTCAACTCTTTCAAGCCAATGTGTACTCCTCCCATGTATAATTCCTGCTCTTCTCATCTCATCTTCTCCTCACTCTCATCTGCCTTTGCCTGGTGCTCATGTCTGGCGATGGCTTCGCTGTAAAGTCCAAGTTCAAGTCAGTCTATGACCTTAAACCTTTAGGTGGGAAGATTTCTGAGGTAATGTCAGTAAAAAGGTGGCAGCATCGTGCTCTAGGCTTTCTCCTAGTACTTCTGAGGTTCTTGTGAATAAATGGAGACAGAAAGGTGAAGTACAGACTTTGAAGTGAGAAATGTCTAAGTCTGTGGTCCTTTTCAGGCAATAATAGTGCCAGAAGCTCATGGTGGTTAGAGTAGCTGGAGTTACAGGAACAGTAGTTGGGTATACTCAACTGATCTTGACTGGTTTACAAAACGTTTATGTCATTTAACATATTTTAGAGGGAAAATGTAAAGAAAGAACTTGGCTGTGTCCTATCTAAAATGAAATGGAAATAATTCTAACCAATCTAGAATGGTTTGTTTCCATTGCAGTTTCTAAGTAAATGGGAGTTCGTGAAATTCCTCTGTCAAATCTTGCTATTTTCAGGGCAGGGGAAATATGTAGTCTAATAAAATGGAGGCAGATGTATGTGTTAAAGATTTTTCCAGTGACTACCAAACCTGTGTCAGAGGAAACCTCACTGAAGATAGAAAAGAACTACATCTAAGTCTGATTTTTTTGTTAATAACATTAATTTTATTTTGTTTTTTGGTCAGTTGTGGGGCTTGACCTCTGGGCGGGGGCACTGCACCTCAGCTCTTCAGCTCAAGGCCAGTGTTCTACCACTTGATCCACAACAACACTTTCAGTTTTTTGGTGGTTAATTTGGAGATAAGAGTCTCATAGATTTTCCTGCCTGGATTGGCTTTGAACTGTGATCCTCAGATCTTAGCTTCCTGAGTAGCTAGGATTACAGGTGTGAGCCACCAGCGCCCGGCATTAACATTAATTCTAAAAACTTGTTTCTAGGCAGGTCTTGTGGCTTATGTCATCCTAGCTACCCAGGAAGTTAGGATCTGAGGATAGTGGTTTGAGGCAGCAGGGGCAGGGAAGTCCATGAGACTCTTATTTCCAGTAAACTATTTTTTTTAAAGCTGGACATAGAGCTGTGGTTCAAGTACTACCCTTGAATAAAAGAAGCTCTGGGACAGCTCCTATACCCTAAGTTCAAGCCCTAGGACCAGCACACACACACACACACACACACACACACACACACACACACAAAAACAGAAACAAAAACTTATTTTCTTTCTCGCTTTTCAGCCAGCATATGTCCCAAGGAAGCTCATCCCAATAACAATCATCAAGCAAGGTAATTAATCTGCTCTGTACATGTCAGAACTATTTTTAACTAAGATAATTAAATATGGTGCATATTTTTCAATTGTTAAAAATTATTTCCAGAGAAAATCTGAACCAACTATTTTAGTTTAGTAAATTAGATGTTAATAGATTGTTTGAGCTTATGTACCAATATGCAAAAACATGAACAAATGACACTGGTTGGACAATTCTGGACAAAGCAACCATAACAGTACTAATTAAAAAAAAAACTAGTTTGGGGGTTGGGAGGGATGGTAGAGAATGAAGAAAGTTTTCAAGTGATTAAATTGGCTCCACTATTTCTAGGAGGTTTCTTATTGGAAGAGATATGGCCTTGAAATTGTTTTTCATTTTAAGCAAACACAATGTCCTAAGTGTACCCTTAAAACAGGACCAATTAGTTATAAGAATCATCTAAAGATTCTTTACTTCAAGAATGTATGCTTCCTAAACTTTTCTTATCACTTAGTCTTTGGCAGAGTTTGTGCTAGCTCTTATTGACTTGGGAAAGGACAGGCAGCAGACAGTAGGGATGGGAAGGAAATTTCCCACTAAAAAAGAATGGAATACTTTATGATAGACCAGCCTTCTGTTACCTAATAGAAAAGGTATTACAGTAGTAAGTAGCTTCTAATCCCTCCCTTGCCTCGGTAGCCAGCCCTCGGGTTGATTTCTATTAGTTGATAAACTCAGATGAAGCCATCTCCCAGTCAGAGACTTCCTATCACCAGCTTCTTCCTATTCTTCTTACAACACTAGCGTCCTTTTGTGTCTCAACAGTGATTCAGAACGTTACCCACAAGACTTCAACTAAATCCCCAGATAAGACTCCCTTTGGAGGAACAATTCTAGGTGAGTGCATCGATCTTGAAATCTATGTCTAGAATAGGTAAGTAAGCTACTCTTTTGATAGTAGGGCCCTGATAGAGCTGTGACCGTTGAGTAGGTCTGCCAAATTAATTTCAGTTCATTTTCTTTAACTGCTTAGACATTCTGGCATGTCTATGCCAGGAGGATAGTCAAGACCCTATTTTTAACCTGGCATTTTAAGGAGATTGATCTAGTTCAGTGGAATGATGGCACTCATCCTATCTATCCATAGGGTTCTTAAGGGTCATATTGCCAGCTCAGGGTCATGTTGACCCTCAGTTCAGTAAGCTGAGTGACAGTAGCTCACACTTCTAATCCTAGCTACTTCGGAGGCTGAGATCTGAGGATCATGATTCAAAGCCAACCTGGGAAGTTAAGTCCAAGATACTGTTATCTCCAATTAAACACAAAAAGCTAGAAGTAAAGTTGTGGCTAAAGTGGTAGAATATTAGCCTTGAGCACAAAAGCTCAAAGACAGTGCCCAGGCTTTGAGTTCAAGTCCCAGGATCAGTACATCGGAGTGCACGTGGGTATGTGGACACACACTCACACACACACACACACACACACACACACACACACACACACACCACTGTGATTGAAAATGATGTTCTCTCTTTACCACATTTTAAAATATATATTGATGTTTATTAAGGTCTGTTTTAAAACTATGCTTCTTAAGCACTGCTTTTACAATTTTTTGTTTATGAACTAAAAGAGAATTTCATTAGTTTGGTTCTAAATATGAAGACTACTTTACTGAAAAAGGTATTACAACATTTAAAAATTTGGGTCCTAATTGGCTAAAACAAATACTTGCTAAATTTCATAATCTAGTGTCATATGATCTGAACTTTTATTTTATTTCACAATACACTTTCTTCTCCCTTTACTTCCTTGTAGTCCACCTTATTATTCCAGGTCTGAATGAAACCACTGTAAAACTGCCTACATCTATAATGTTGGAAATTTCAGATGCCCTAAAGGCACAATTAGGTAAGTATCAAAGGTCTACAGTTGGATTTTTCAGTTACTGAGTATGAGCACTACTATGCTTAGACTATCCAAGCAGTCTTGCAATCTTGTAAATGAAGTGTGTGGTGATGACAAAGAGAAGAGCAAGGAAACTGCAGCATTAGAGATACTCATCCAGATCACATGAGCAGTGAAATTGCTGTCTTATATTTAGATAAAATATAAATATATTTATGTGTTCAAAAATAGAAGAACACTTAATCATAGATAGGATTTTAGAAAAAATTCCAAACTTACACACCACTTAGAAAAACTTGAAAAATATTTGCTAATATTTCTGATTCTGTATATTCCTTGAATTTTTGTAATAAAATATTCACATCATAAAAACCTGCAAGAAGTCAGATTGACTTTGGATTTCCTTTTCTTAATTTGTCCATTAGACTCGACCACTTGTTTCTCAGCTATAACATTCTGTGACCTAACTCTGCCTTGTGTAAATGTGGTGCTACCCACAAACTTCCAAATTAAATTCCCTCCATGGAACAGAATTTGGAAGAGCCAAAACTTGGGACTTTGTACTTAACCCTTCTCTTTACAGAGACTGTATTCTTAGCATGTGCTAAGAGGAGGAAATAAAGGTGTTAATTAGCCTCTTCTTCATTTGGTCCTTAATATGATCATTAAAAGTACAAAAGACAATTTGTGAAGGAGACTAACAATGATTAGAATAGTTCCCCAGATCAGTGATATGAAGGTGTCAGTTCTGAACTAAAGACAAGTTGTTTGATTACTTAGTTTTGTTTTAAATTTCTTTTTTAAATTTTATTTTATTGTTAAGATGCCATACCATTACTTAGTTTTGAGTAATGTTCTCAGAAAATTTTCTTTGCCAAGTTTTAATGTGCTACCTTAAGACAAATTATTTAACTTGTGAGTATTACTGGATTTTGTTTAGTGTTGTTTTTGTTTTTCTGATAAGACTCATTCAAATGCCACAGTTCAATGTCATAATAATAAAGAAAAACTATGTGCAAATAACAAGAAATACAAGAAGAAAATACCTTTCGAACTTAGATTTCTAGTGAAATACCTATTGTAAATTTAACACATAGAAAATCTCTTATTTGCTGGAGGGATTGATCTACTTGGCATATTTGCAAATGCAGGAAATCTAAGAAAAATCTCATCCATCAAGTTTCTCATCTTAACACACTATGTTTCAAAAAGAAGCAATATTAATAAAATTGGGAGGAGGTAATAAGGATGTAGCTCAGTGGTAAAGTATTTGCCCATGGAGCAAAACTCTGTCTACGAGCTATTTTGAAATATCAAATTAATCACTGACATTGTTGCTGGGTTTTATAAGTTCTTTCTTTATGTGGTTTGGATATTAAATCCCTATCAGAAACACGATTTTCAAATATTTTCTCCTAGTCTGTAAGCCGCTTTTCATTTTGTTGAGCAGAAATGCTATTTTTTTCCAAATAAAAAGAGCATGGGCATAAACAGCTTTTAAACTACCAAGGGAGAAATAAACTTTCCTGAAGCTAATTATTACAGCAATTCAGAAAAGTCGTATTTCTTGAGGGAGTAAATTCTAAAAATAACATCCCATTCTACCAGTGCACAACATGGGACATCAAGAGATGTAATAGCTTTTGTTCTAAGAACATATGGTGTGAATAATGAGAGAAATAAACAAGAATGCTAGTACTACACACACACACACACACACACACACATCTCTGGGTTATCTCTGAGGGATGTACAAAGGGTTTGCCAAAGCCAACACTTGGCCTGCCAAAACTTAAGACACTGCTGGAAAAAAAAAGTACGGAAGAATAATAATGGAGGATAAGAAATTTCATAAGGTTTAGGACTTACTTCAATGACATTTTACTTTTCTGGTATCATTATTGTCGTTGGGCATATTGCAGTAGAATGCTTGTAGACATTTAATATCAAGTGTCCTTCACTTAAATATCTCTCCATCTCTTACTTTCTCAATAACTCTCTGTCTTTAAATTCATTAGAAGTAAGTGAATATTTTGTACCTATATTACATGGAACCAAGAAAAATGGCTTTTCTGAGAGTGATATTACCTGCAAAATTTGCATGGTCAAAAACACGTTCATAAACTAGACTAATTCTCAGCAGGCAATGACACTGTCCCCCAATGTCTGGAGATATTTCTGGCTATCACAACTATTGAGATACTATTGGAATCTAATGGGTAGAAGCAAGAAATGCCACCAAATCTCCTTTAAGTAAACGGGACGGGATCTTCCCACCTATCATCTCCACCCCTGCCTCCAACCAAAATGCTAACTAGTCTTAAGTGTCAATAATGCCAAAGTTCACAGATCCATAGCCTAAATAGCCTATATATATTTTAAATCCTATCTGATTAATTAATCAGCTTTAGGTGGCATGAATTTTTTTCATGCTGTTCAACTGTTTCAAAATAGTACAAGCAGGTCACTTGACTGAGATTGCTAAATAACTGACTGGAATGAATCCCAAGAACATTTTAAAATTGGGGACTAATTAGCCACTGGGAAATTCTAGTTTAGCCATAATCTTTTTTTGAGAAAGAGCTCCTACCTTGTAAAGAAGTAGATTTCCCTGATATTTGCATTAAGAGGGGAAAACAGATTGTATTCTTTTTTTCTCTTTTTATATTTAATACAAAGAGGTTTTAATTTAACATGTCAGTTTTTGAGTACAATGTTTCATGATCTTATTCTAGTTTTTGCATTGAATTTCTACACCGAATGAAAGAGCAGATTAAAATTAACATATGGCTCAAGTAAAATTTAACCGTTTTTGCCATAAAGTGTTCCAAATACTTTTTTTTTTCCTATGTGTGTTGTGTTTCTTTAAAGTTTCAGTGTTTTAATCTCTTAAAATTTTTAACATGTATAATGAAAATTTCCATTTACTAGTATTTTAGATAGTAGAAGTACTTGAATATAACATTCAGAGGAACTTTAAAAGTATAAATTATGAATTCTAGAAACTCTGAATGAGAATGACAAAAGTTAGCCAAGTACTGAGCTGTAATTTTCATTTTCATTCCGATGTCAGTTTAGATCTTAAAGAATTAGCCAGGGAAAATAAGAAGGAATTTTGAAGTCTATCTCTCTTCTTCTTCTTAGTCCCTGGTAGAAATGCACAGTAAAGTTGACTTGCTGGCTGAAAGGGATGTATGTAGAGTAACTAAAAAATAATTTATAACTTGATTTTATTTTGCATGAAGTATTGTTGGATACTGTGCTATGAAGTGAGGTAAATTGTTTTTTTTCTTTGTTTTAGCTAAAAATGAAACATTGGCATTACCTGCTGAATCTAAAACGCCAGAGGTTGAAAAAATCCTAACACAGCCCATAACAGGTAAGGAGATCCCTATCTTTACACTGGGAAAACTATTAATGTTTTCGTTTTTTCATACAGGGAATCACTGACAAGCTTATATATTTTCAGTGATGGTCAGTTAGAACCTTGATTTAGTCATAAGTATAAAACAAAATGAGATCCTACGTCTTTAATGTTTAGGGAAAAATGAAACAAAAAATGAATAATGGAATTATATAGCTGATATGTAATATGAAAGCTATATTTTCCAGTCCAGGTGAAAGTTGTTATATAAACACTGAAATAGTTTTACCCTAAAACGTAATAATAGTTTTTTTTTTAAGTATTGGTGCTTTCCTTTTAAATGAAGACCTGGGACCATTTTTTTACTACCAATTTAGAAAAATACTTACTCTTTCCTCAATTCTTAGTTTGATAGTTATGAAAATATCCTGAATTTTTAAAGAAACAAATGCCTTTACAAGATAAACAACCTTAGCATACAAAATGCTAACAGTCCAGTAAAAATTTCTTTACAGAGTCAATGTTGTAAACATTGTTCCCATCCTTTATCCCTGGAACTAACAAACTTTCTGTGTTTCTTCTCTGAATGAACTACCCCATTTGACCACAAGGGAGACATTAATCTCTGAAGTACAGAGTTTTTGCCAGAGTGATAACACCTTATCCAGAACTTGATGAAACAAACATTTGGCAAGAAATCTCCCAATTAAGCAAAGGAACTCTCATCCGAAGTGAATCTTTTAATCTGCAAAATTGCCATAATTTGACATACTCATGCTATTTCCTCTATATTAAATGTTTCAACTTGTAACTGGTCCAGAGAAGATAGAGCTGATAGGGTAATAAAATAGCTTCAAGAAACAGATGGAAGTACACTATTTCTTTCTTTTTTCTTTTTCTTTTTTTTGGTCCAGTCATGGGGCCTGAACTCTGGGCCTGGGCATTATCCCTCAGCTCTTCAGCTCAAGGCTAGTGCTCTACCACTTGAGCCATAGCACCACTTCCGGATTTTTTTTTTCTGCTTATGTGGTGCTGAGGAATCGAACCCAAGGCTTCATGCATGCAAGGCAAGCGCTCTACCACGGAGCCACCTTCCCAGCCCAGAAGTAGACTATTTCTGATAGAGAAAGAGATATGGTCCTGTTTGAAGAGAAACGTGCCTTCATTTCCTTGTTCACAGGACAAAGTTAGAAGCTACTCAAACTTTGGGAATAATCCATCTGAGTGCAATTTTTAGGTGCTTTTTTCATTTTGGATTCATTGTACTTAGTTTTAAAATCCCCAGCATGATCCAATGGGTAACTCTAAGTTCTTGTCTGCCTCAAAAATTCTACCCATTTCCCGTCACACTTTATTTTTTGGCACTGCATCTGAAGAGAAGCCACAGATTTCTTAAATTTTTTTTTTTTTTTTGGCTAAACTTCAGAACTTTCCATTTCAGAAATAGTCAACTACCACAACTTATTATTCAGTATTCTGTCCATTTTATGTGCTTACCTTGCAAAATTCCAGGATTTTCAAGCTCGTGATTCCTTCCAGATCTCAGTAACTACAAGTTCTTATTTCACCAATGTTATTTACCTGAAGTCTCCATTGCTTTTAATCTTAGCAGTATGGGACCACCCAGAGGCTAAGCATTTGAAACCTGAGATAATTTCAACCCAATTCCAAGCTTTGCTGACTGAGTACAGTTTGAGAGAGAAACCTAATAGCATAATAGTTTCTAAGTGAACCACTAACTCTAAGTCTTTTTTTTTCTCTCATTTGTTCTTTTGGTTTTTCTTTTTGTTTTCTTTTCTTTTTTCTTCTTTTTTTTTTTTTTGGTCGGTCATGAGACTTGAACTCTGGGCCTGGGTCTGGGTTCTGTCCCTGAGCTCTTCAGCTCAAGGCTAACGCTCTACTACTTGAGCCACAGAGCCAATTCCTGTTTTTTGGTTGTTAATTGGAGATAAGAGTCTCATGCACTTTCCTGCCTGGGCTGGTTTTGAACTGCCATCCTAGATCTCATCCTCTTGAGAAACTAGGATTACAGGTATGAGCCACCAGTGCCTAGCATACAATTCTCAACTTATAATTACTAACTTATATTCTAGATATAACATATTTAATATTATAATTTAAAATAACTCATGGACTTTCCTGCCTGGGTTTGAGCCATGATTCTCAGGTCTCAGGCTAATGAGTAGCTAAGATTACACCAGCACTGGCTTGCTCATTTGTTCTTTATTTAACAATTATTATATGCTGTGTATTCTAGGCTTTGCACTAAGCCCTATAGATAAAGAAAAAGAAAGATAAATAATAAGAGACAGTGATAAGCACGTGAATGGAAAACAGGAGGAGTGTCAGCCTGGAATCTAGGTCAAGACAGAGAGACTACCATTAGGAACTTGAAAAGACATAGGCTGTATAAGTATCAGTTACTAATTCTAAAGATGGATGAAATATGTTTTATGGTCTTTGTTGTTCATCATTTTATTTTAGTTCATAAAGTTACCATTCGTTTTACCTTTCAGTAACTCCTGGAACAGTTCCAAGAAGCACTAAACCCACTGTGTCTAGTGCATTCGACATTTTGGAAACAACACTAGGTAATTCTACACCCTTTTTCTATCTTTTCAAAAAAAGGAATGACAAAAATAACCTCAGCATCCATTAAAGAAAAGACTCACCCCAATTCTTCAATCTGGCTCTCATTCCCTTCTACCTTTCCATGTTTCTTCCTTTCCACACCATTGGGGAAGTAACTTTCCTATTTCTTGGACCAATTCCATTGGAAGAGTTAACAAAAATGCCTTGATCTTGTTGAGTTAGGTGCCTGGCATGTTAGATATGAACTGCATGCATTTTCTACCTGTCTTTTGTTGGACAGACAGAATTGTTGCCTTTCAACCACCAGAACATGGAAGGGTGGGAAGAACTTGGAAATCTTGACTCTGGGATCTCTCATCGAATGGGCTTTTGAAGGTTCTTATGTGTCCTAAATGTGCGAAGAATCCCCCAAAGCATCATACATTTATTTATACAAAGTTCTCATTACTCATGTTTGCTGCTATTTTACCTCGAAGAAACTAACTTGCCATTGCAGTTTCTTCTCTTTCCCTGAAGACAAGGAGTAGTATAATTTTTGTTCTGCACTGTGGTGCTAGTTTTCTGAAAGTATATTCAATTTGGAACTGCTCTGTAACTTTCCCAGGGAAAGCCAATTCTTTTCCATGGAAGGCCTCAACTGCTCATTGCCCATGAGTCTCTGTTATGAAGCATGCTGTGCATGGTCATGGATAAACCACAATGTCAAATCCCAAGTTAGGGTGCTGCTAATCTCATTCTTCTTTTTTGTAGTTCTCAGTGAAAGGACCCAGGAATCATCGCAAACAATTCTAATACCTAGGTTTGAATTGCCACTGAGCACTTTAGGTACAAATTATTGAACTCTGCAGCTTTATTATTGCCTGAAATTTTTATGCATGAGCTAATTCACCCATTTTTTTTTTTTTTTGCCTCACAAGAAAAATGGGACAAATGGCTTACACAATAAGGAGTTCTCCATTACCAAGCCCTCAAGGGTGATTTTAAAAATCATTGTATTCTAAGCTCCAGATTTTAAAAATCATTGTAATCTAGGCTCTGAAGGAGGCTCTCACTAACAAATCTACTGGCATTTTTGTAAAAACATAATATTGTCATGTTTTAATACTGTTCTTGATTCTTTCTATTTAGAATCATTATGTCACAAAACAAATTTATATTTCCCTTCAGTGTTTTTTACTCAATTGTTTCTCTTCTCAGAGGAGACATTGATAATATTTCTGCAGGCTCCTTAGAGTTCTTAGTATTTCTATGTGCGAAACATCTTAAGAACTTTATATAAAAGCCATGTAATTACCAACACTCAACTTCTGAAAGGTATTGGCTGGATATTTTGTAGATCAAGTGTGTTTGGTACTAGGTTTGAATTTAAATGAAATGTACATAATCACATACATTAATATACCTGAGAAAATCAAGAAACTAATTCAATAAGAGTAAAGAGAAGAGCCCAAACACTTCAGATTCAGTGAGTTGATAACGAAAAATTGAAAAAGAAATTTTAAGTCTGGCATAGTAACTGACACTGGTAATCCCAGCATTTGGGAGTCAGAAACAGAACTGTGCACTCAAAGCTAGCCTAGGTTACATAGCAAGGTCCAGTCTCAACAACGAAGCATATATGTTCATATGTATATAAACAACTATAGTAGATAGACACACAAACATGCATGTAAACACATATATGTGTGTATGTATGTACACACATATATATGTATAATATGAACATGTAAATATATGTACATATTCATACAACTATATACATACACATACATACATATGCATGCATAGAGAGAGAGAGAGAGCCTGCACTGAAACACAGAAGAAAAACTGATAAAGATTTCTTAGTTGATATCAAATAGTTTCCTTTGTAAGTTTGTTGGTGTTTTTTCTACCTTAGATTTTAAAGTCCTTTACTCTCTGTTACTTGAACCCCAGGTCATAGCTATCCTGTATGTTTTGTTACAGCTCCAAAAAGGCTTCCAGAATTTCCTGAGGCAAAAACATCCTACCCTTTTGAGAAACCTGGGGGTACCTTGGGTAATAAAAGTATATTTGATGTTACAAACTTGAATAATGGGGTGAGGTGTAATTCGGTGGTAGATTGCTTGTCTGGTATTTATAAGAACCTGAATTTGATCCCTAGTCCTTACTCAGACATGCAATAGTAATAATGTTATCATAATAGTGATGATAATAATAGTAATAATCGTGTGAATGGTAATGGCTTGCTTCTGTACAATACACTTACTAGGTTCTAGCTCTGAAATCCTCAATAAATTCATGAGTTCTGTTAACTAGGGCAAATAATAAGTGGTTGATTTCACTAAAAAGAAAAATAAATACTTGATTGGATTTCTTATTAAAGTAAAAGAGTCATAACTCAGTAATTTCACATAACCCAGTTGTTTAGTTCTCTCAATATATTATGACTTTTGATAGAATATGTATGAGCTATTTCTTGCAGTCTTCTGGTAGCCATTTAACACTATCTGCCATCCATTTCTCTCCTTTATTTCTTCTTAAAAGTTTTTTTCAGCAAGTTCCATTTCTTTTCAATGTAGCTTCAAGTGAAAAGCCATGGGTGGCGCCTACAGCTAAACCATCTGAAGATTCCAAGGTTGCACGGCCTCCAACTGGTAATTGCATTCTACTTACAAGTGAAATCGTAAAAAGCTTTTGGTTATCTTCCATCTCTTAGCTTTTGGATTATAACAAAGAGGACACAGAGTTCTATTGGGTTTCTCTTGAACAGCATCTACATTGTAGTTTCTGTGATTATTCAAGAGCAAACTGACTGTGAAACTGCAAATCATAGGTCATAAGTTATTTAAAAAGAATTGGCACTGAAGCACACATTGGGATATAGTGAAAGCATAGTGGGGAGTGAAGATTGCAGTTACAAATAGGCAGAAATGGGAAATACCAACAAAGGAAAGGTTTGTTTTACCTTTATTTTTACAAAAACCACATTGGGGACTTACCCTGATGGAATGAGGACAATTGCTAATGCAAAAAATTGTAGATTCCTTATTCAGCTGCCCTCTTCCCTGCAAGAGCAACCGCGGGTTTCCAGGGAGCTTTGGGACTTGTCATGGGCTGCCAGAGTTTTAGCAACAAGTTTAGTTAAGAGTTGTTTGTAAACGAGCATTATTACCTAGAATTTACTAGGGTGCTTTTATGACATTGTATTTGTTTATCTGTGCTATTCATAAGGTTGGCATAACCTGGAAGTTTGCTATCTGACAATAACCCAGGTGAATTATATGAGCAGAAGGAACACTTTTCTCACCCTGTTTTGAAATATTTCACATGGCTGTTAAGAATCATCAGATGGGGGGCTGGAAAGGTGGCTCAGTGGTAGAGCACTTGCCTTGCATGCATGAGGCCCTGGGTTCGATTCCTCAGCACCACATAAGCAGAAAAAAAAAGCCGGAAGTGGTGCTATGGCTCAACTGGTAGTGTGCTAGCTTTGAGCTGAAGAGCTGAGGGACAGCGCCCAGGCCCAGAGTTCAGGCCCCACGACCGGACCCCCCCCAAAAAAAGAATCATCAGATGGGTCAATAATAGGATAGTAGGACTCTAATCAATATGAATAACTTTTTTTTTATTTATTTTATTTGTGAACATACTGTACAGAGGGGTTACAATTGCATGGGCAGGATAATGCGTACATTTCTTACCAAGCATTGCAGCCTCCTCCTTTGTTTACCCTTCACATCCCTTCCCAGCCTCCCCCCTCCCCCCAGTCCCAATCCTTCTCCCCGGCCCCCCCCCCCCCCCCCCCCGCACCGACGTTGTAAAGCTCATTTTGGACATGACAACTTGTACTTCTCATTGTTGCAACAGGTCCACCTGTATCCTTAAACGACTTGCTTTTCCCCATCTCCTCCGCCCTCCGCAAGTTATACTGACATCAAATATAGTGAAAGCAGGGGTTATACTGTGGGGGAGGGACATACAAAGCAACAAAGAAATAATTTTATAAATGCGTTAGAAACACATGCATGAAAGAAAAAAACATTAAAATACATATTTAAGGGTTCATTTTCCTAACATCACATTATCTGACCTTTTCTGCTTGACTCATACGTATACTAGATATTGCAAATAAGGGAAACCATGGGGCCTATGTTTCTTTGGGCCTGACTTACTTCGCTTAATATAATTTTTTCCAAGTCTTTCCATTTCCTAACAAATGGGGCAATGTCATTCTTTCTGATGGAGGCATAGAATTCCATTGTGTATATATACCACATTTTCTTGATCCAAATATGAATAACTTTTTAAAAGACATAAAGATAGCATGCAGTAGGTGATTATGTATCTCTTGCTTATATTAATGTGCTATACATACATCTGTGCTCTAATGTAAGTATTGGGTAACATCTTCCTAATGTAAGTTAAATTTAAAACCAAAAGGAAAATTGCACATATTTGTGATTCTGAGAGTTGTTATATTCGTATAAGAATTTCATTTATTTCGGCCTTGAATTTTAAAAATAGATTTGGTGTGATTTTGTATATGTTCAAAGGTTCATCTGTTAGTTTTAACATAAGTGATTATTATTTTCCATTTACTCAGATAGCTTTCTGTTACAATTATTGTCAGAAATAAGAAAAATGGTGGCAGGCACTAGTGGTTTTCTTGCCTGTAATTCTAGTTCATCAGAAAGCAGAGATCAAGAGAACTGTGATTTGAAACCAGACTGGGCAAAAATAATCTGTGAGATTCCATCTCTAATTAATCAGCAAGATGCTGGACTGGACAGGTGGCTCAAGGGGTGGAGTTCCAAACATGAAGCAATAAAGTTGAGAGACAGAGGATGAGTTTGAGCCTGATTACTGGCTCAGAAATAGATAGATAGATAGATACATACATACAGACACACACACACACACACATACATACATACATACATACATACATACATACATATATACATACATAAATGGAAGGAAAGAGATAAAGGTAGTGCCTGAATAATGGCCCACAAAATCATGAGGCCCCGATTTTAATTATTGTATCCTTTGAAGAAACAATATGGCAAACTAAGCATATCTTGCTTTTCTAATCATAATACAGTGTTTGTTATCACAAGATTTACTTTTTGATTGGTGGTACAGGGATTTGAACTCAGGTCCTTGCACTTATACTTTATAAGTTAAGCCATGTTCCAAGCCCTTTTTTTGCTCTTATTATCCTTTGGATAGAGTCTCCCTTTTGCCTGTCCACCTAAGACCATGATCCTCTCATGTACACTTCTGGCTGTGATGACAGGTACATACCATCATACCTCACTTTTTTGGGGGGGTGGGGAGCTCCGTCATGGGGCCTGAACTCAGGGCCTGAGCACTGTCCCTCAGCTCTTCAGCTCAAGGCTAGCACTGTACCATTTGAGCCACAGCGCCACTTCCAGCTTTTTTCTTTTTGCTTATGTGGTGCTGAGGAATCAAACCCAGGGCCTCATGCATGCAAGGCAAGCACTCTATCACTGAGCCACCTTCCCAGCCCTCACTTTTTTATTAGTTGATGTGAATCTCATAAACATTTTGCCTAGGTTGGCCTCAAACTACAATCCTTCCTCTCTCAGCCTCCTGAATAGCTAGGATTACAGATGTGTGCGACCATGCCATAAACAAGCATATTTACTACCCAAAGTCTACCAGAATACATGTGTGGTTGAATAGAATGGGATCATTTAATTATTACAGTGGAGAGGACAGGCTTTGAGGAACTGTTTGTTAAAGAGAACTTACTAAAAGATTTTTGTCTCATGTTAAATTATTGACAGAAGGATCAAAGGAAGTAATTTTGAACTATATAATCAGGAAGTAAGAGAGAATCTGTGAACGTCTCCATGATTTTTTTTGTCAGTCATGGAGCTTAACTTGGCCTGGGTGCTGTCCCTGAACCTCTTTTTGCCACAGCACCATTTCCAGTTTTCTGGTGATTAATTGGAGATAAGATTCTCCTGGACTTTCCTGACTACTCTGGCTTTGAATCCTAATCCTCAGATCTCAGCCTCCTGAGTTGCTAGGATTACAGGCGTGAACCACCAGCACCAGGCCATCATTCTTAACTAAGTGAAAAGATGAGCAGAATTAAGCTAAAGATGAGCAGAATTAAGAAGCACAAATTACCTATATTCACTGGAATGTGAGAGGGTAAAGTTTGTGTTTTAAATGATGTTAATGTTTTGTCAATATCTGACATAATTACAGAATAGTCTTGATTTTATGTTGATCCATTGGCATTACAAGGTGACCTTGTCTAATATCAGTGTTCTTCAAGATTGTTGACATTCAACAAGGAAATGCTAGAGCCTCCCTGTGGTACCACCCCAACTCCTGGCTGCTCTTCTGTTAAGCAATCATAAAACATGATTATAATTTCCTTGTGTAAAATTTATTCTCCTTTAGGACTTATTGGAATTTGGGTCCAATTTTATACTCTGTGTAAAAAAGTTCAATGTAAGGACTCTCAAAGTGATTTCTAAATCACGTTTTGAGATTAAAAGCTATTTGAAGACCCTAACTTACATTCTGGTAATTAAAATTCCTGGGTAAATCCACAATAGGTTTTGGCAATAATGAAACATTGTATTTAAAATTTAGAATACCCCAGAAAATCTGAGATGTGTAATTTTCAAATGTACTCTTCCCAGTTTTAGTCGGTTTGCCCAAATCTTTCATTAGTGGTGCAGTTTGCAATTTTATTATTTGGAAATGAATCTTATATAATTCTACAAAACATATATAAGTAGGGTTGATTGAGTTTGATTTTCTTGGCAAATCTAATTTTCCATAAAGCATATAAAGGAAATCATAAAAATGTGTTCTATAATTACATACTAGAATATAAAGTTATTCATGAATTTAAAAAGGAATGTTAAAAGAAAGTTAACCAGATTTTAGAAATATTTTAATGCTTGTGAAACTTATTAGAAAAAGTTCTTTTTTCTGATAATGCAATAATATGGTCTTACATCCTATTCTAGAAAAGCTCTCAATACCATTTACCCTCAAATGAAATGTGCATTTGCATTCATGTAATCAAGGCTTGTGGACCATTTCTCTATTGGAATAATATAATTTATATTTGTATAGCAGTTTTTCTTTTAAGAGATTCAAAGAGCTATGAATATAGCATCATGATGAACCTTCCAAAGTCCCTAGAAACAGAGTTACTTTCTTTTATATTAAGGAAATGAACAAGATACTTTCCTTTGGATAGGTAGGGAAGCAATACTTAGACTCATTCATTTCTTTCACTCATTTCTTTCCTAATCTTCTTTCCAATAAACTGCTGCAAGTTAAGAATAAAACAATGCCAGTATCTTGCTTTTGAATTGTGAGAACAGCTTTCACAACAGAGGATTTAACCATTATACTGGGAATATATAGATAAGAAGTAACAAGTTATATGAGAGGGACTGGCTTGTCATTGAATCCTGTTCTTACCATGAGTATGATTGCTAATGTGTGAGCTGCAGAGTGAGGCAGTTATTAGCTGGACTAATAACTAGCTCACACAACTTCAATTCCTCCATCTATAAAAGGAAATCATACGTACATTTTTTATCAGGTTGATCTGTCTTAGAACTAATGTGTAAATTACTACTACACAAGAGGAACT